GACAGGGCAAGTATAGTGGCTGGCGTCATCTGCCTTCTGGGGATTAAAACATTTGAAATTGAAAAATTACTGTTACAGTTTTAGGATATGTTTGTTGGAGCATGTAACGACAAACAACATGTGCAGCGTACTATTCTTGCGTTGTTTGAAATCATGTAAATTTGGCAAATCACTGGACTTTAAGTACATTTGTGTTTATACAATTATTCTGCATTCTCCGTTTTACGTGACTGAATGAAACAATTTTGAAGATATTTTCACAGTACACTACATGAAATCTCACTTCAAACGTGCATCGCCAATACGGAACATAGTGAAAATCGTAAAGAGACTCTTCTTATTCCTGGTAGATAAACATTTCCTGCAATATAGTAGCTTAATGGTAAAAGCGAAGACCCTGGTGCGATTCCCCAAATGAGTACAATATGTGAAGTGTATTTCTGGTGTCCCCTGCCGTGATATTGCTGGAATATTGCTAAAAGCTTTGTTGAGCAAAACTCACTCACTCCTGCAATCTGGGTTTGTCGAAAGAGGCGATAAAAACGATCCGCTGGACCACCTCGGTAACTCGTCTCTCATTCGTGGTTGTCTGATCAAAGCATTGACTTTATTGGGTTTCCTAGTTAGACGAACACATTATTTATCCAGCTGAGCGAACTATACTCATGCCAATAATGGTTGTCCCCTCCCCACCCCAACCCCACACACACACCTAACACCCCACCCCACCACCCCTCTTCAATTAAAAAAATTGAAGGGGTGACAACCATTATTGGCATGAGTATATGATCTACACTGACGTGCAAAGAAAGTATACACATGGTGTTTGGGGATTTAAAAAAAAAACCGTAAATATATTTATATCGTTTATTTATTGACAAACATGAAACTCACAAACAGTGTGTATGTGCTGAAGGTAGAGATTATTTTGAAGTTTGTTACAAATGTTTGAGAGGTGACGAGGATTGCTCAAAGCGGACGATAATCATCGTCTGGGGTCATTACACTAACATCAGACACCACACAATACATTAACTCACATCACAGAGAATAGACGTCCTGCTTTAGAAAATGTATACATGTAATAAAATATCTATGGGTTTTTGAGTTCCAGCAGATGTAATCTAAAACTAAAGCATTAAACCCAAAATAAAGCCAAAACAAAACCCAAAAGTAAACAACAAAGAAGTAAAAGGGGAAAGTTAGTAAGGGAAAATTAAACCCGGGGAAAGAGGAATGTGAGAAGTCAAGCAAGGGGAAGACTGACTGACTGACTGAGTTTGGTTTTACGCCGCTTTTAGCAATATTCCAGCAATATCACGGCGGGGGACACCAGAAATGGGCTTCACACATTGTACCCATGTGGGGATTCGAACCCGGGTCTTCGGCGTGACGAACCAACGCTTTAACTACTACACTACCCCACCGCCACGCAAGGGGAAGAAAATGCCTGAATGAAGAAAAATCCAGAATAAGTAAAGAAACTAACACCAGAGTGAAGAATGGAGATGAAAATTAAAACTCAGTGGAAGTTCGGCAAGGAAAGTATGACCCAATGAAACTGAGATAAGGGAAAGTAGGACAAGACAAAGTAGGACGAGGGAAATCAAGGTGAAGGAAAGTAAATCTGTGGGCGCACTTTACAACTTTGTTGTCAGTGAGCAAGTTGATGTTTTACGTCGCATCAGTGTTCTCATTTATGATTATCATCCAAAACTGTGTTCCACCGGAGATATTGCTTGTGAGAGATCAAACGATATCTCCTTGATTTTGTACAATGCCCTGACGTCATCGTTTACGTGACTCACAATGAAATGACGTCAAAACCCAAATGACGTCGCATGCTATGACGTCATAAACCTGATGACTATTACGAAATAGCTGCACTGCAAGTCAAATGGCAGTACCGTGTTCAGAGATGTACATTTTTCATTGAAAACTAATGAAGAGTGATTTTTTATATGATAAATAGAATATCACCCTCGTGTCTTCTAATACCAAATAAATCAATGCTCGTCAGCAGACACTTGGGTGGCATTCTCTATCTATGGCACTGGTAGACCAACAATCTTTGGAGGAATTCAGGGTTCCTGGCACTGGTCCGGGAAACGCCCATGTACAAACTACCGAGCCAATGAATTCCTTGTACCTGTAGTGGTGATTCTGTTGTTTCTGCGCTAGTACTAAGTTTGACAGGAATGTCAAATACTTTATGTCATGATATTGCATCAGTTACACAGAAAGCATATATTTTAAAAAATAACAGAGGGATGGTTATATTTATTTTCTTAGAATGGTCGAGAAATAAGGTTAGCGCATCTTTGTCAGTGCCATGCAAAAGAAACTTTCATATATGCACATGGAAAAAAGTATCACAACCAATATGATTTTTAGCCTCCCATATACCCATTCATTTTCATATCATAGTTATGTTTGTTTGTACGATTTATTACATATACTCGTCATTAATCGAAAACTTGGAAAATCAATTGATTTCGTTGTTGATAAGCAAATATGGGGCCTCTACAAATGACAACTCACGGATTATAGTTTTTATGCAAAACTGGCATGAGGGTTATCGACCATCAGCCGATTGTCCAGAAAACAGCAAACTAATGACGTCAAGGACAATCAGCGGTCAGGTTGACCACGAGTGATAACTTCTAGATAGGATATAGCCATTCTCAGAATCAAAAGACTTCATCCTTCCAAATCGTCGTTTGTCCAACAGAACGGTACGAAATCGACCAAGTATAGAGCCAAACTTCCTATCAGACTTCCGTTGTTATTCCCACAGCACAAAGTAGTACCATAAGGTTGGAGTCAAGCTCGACGTTCACTGGAATTTGAGGTCATGGTGAAGGGTCCATTGGTCGGACGAAAGTCGTGTTTGTTTTGTTTTGTTTTTAATGACCGATGGCGTCACAGAACCACTGCATGTGCACAAGAGAATATCTTGGAGGAAGTTCCCTTTAGCGTAGTATCTTTGGTGGTGTAGGGGTGGACGAGGACTCGACGGACACCTATCCAACGGGCTCCACCAGGCTCCACGATTCCATTCGGCACAAGGGTTGACTGAGTTGTTGCAGTGATCCTTGACACAAAAGTGACTCCCATCCAGGGTTGACGCTGGGTCCCCTAGGCTGATGTGGTCTCCGAATTCACCGAGAGTTTTTTACGACGGACGCTGGTCAGAGCATACATCTTCTCCAGACCCAGCCACATGTAACAGTTGGAGTGGGTGAAACCAGACTTGTAGTCGGCCCAGGGAAGTCAAACGGTTTTGCAGCTTTGGTCGGCCAGACAGTGTAGGTTCCAGGAGAGTTACAATGTACAAAATGTCCTGTCCTTACAGTCTGAAACAGTGAAATGACTTTAGGACACATGTCAGTGGTGTTGCGCATGCGTTCAAAGGCTCTGAATCAGAAACAGTGAATCGAATCCACATCTGAACATCTTATCAGATTCGTGTCCACTAATTTCCATCAAATAACCATGTTTTTTTACCTTGGAAGTATATGCTTCACACCGCCATTTTATCCGTTGCGTCGTGGAGGAGTTATGCAAAGCTTCAGGTAGCTTTCAGAAAGTGACGTAAACTCAGGATCATATATCTATATATCTATCTATCTATATATATATATATATATATATATATATATATATATATACTCTTATAAAAGAAACGCATAGGTGATTTTGTGAATATTGGACTCATGTACGTGCGGCAAAATCAATACAAATATACTATTCTTTCCAAAACGCCATCTTTGTGTGATTGTAAACAGCTTCATCGCCAAAACGCGGCAATTTTAACTTTTCCCCTAGTTTTAGAAGCCTTTTAAGAAATATTCGCCAAAGCGTCACCAAGAAAACATACAAAGCAAAATACAAGTAAGCGGAAAAGCATGCGGTATAGATCATTATAAAGGCAAACGCTTTGGCATCCGTTTTTGCCTGGAAAAGAGGAAATCATCATGCCACGAGTGAGCTGCGGCCAATCAAAACATCGCCATAGGCCGCCTTGAAGCTGGCGAGTCGCAGTCTGCAGTTGCCCGACATTTCAACGTTCATTAGGGCACCATATCTCGCCTTTTAGATCGTTTCCTGCAGACCAATGCCGCCCAAGATCGGTCGAGAAGCGGGTGCCCATGAGTTACCATCCAAGCCCAGGACCTCTGCATCCGGGTTGCTCACTTGCGTCATCGTCTTGCCACAGCCGTGGAGACTGCACAACGCATCCCTGGTTTGAGGAACATGTCCGACCAAACTGTCAAGAATCCACTGCGTGAAGTGGGGATTCGATCAAGAAGGCCATTTGTCGTAGATGGAACACTGCGTTGACGAGATGGAAGACAGCGTGTTTACCGTCGGAGGAAATGAACGTTTTTACCCTAATTGCATACGACAGGTCGACAGATTCGGTGGAGAAAGTGTCATGGTGTGGGATAGGATATCCAGCACACACAGGTCTGATTTATTGGTGGTTCAGGGGAATTTGACAGCAAATCGGTACATCAATGAAGTCCTTGCACGTCACATGCTTCCGATTATGGACCGACAGAGGGAGTTCCAGCAGGAAACGCTACTTCACATACGGCACACATCTTGCCAGTTCTAACGTCAATGTCTTGACATGGCCTTCCCGATCACCAGATCGAAAACCGACAGAACACCTATGGGATGGGCTCGACCGACGTGTACGTCAAGGTCAAAACATGTGTCAGACAACTGGCCATCGCAATGCAGGAAGAGTGGTGAAGAATTCCGCAAGAGCGACTTCGTTGACTTATCCAGTCTGTGCCGAGACGGTGCCGAGCAGTAATTGCTACCAATGGTTGCCATACAAAATACAAGTGCATGTGAAACAATTGCTCTTAAACTAACGCAATAAATTCTTCTGAAAATGGCTTATGCCGGGTTTTTTTTAAAGAATGTGTAACATACAAAGATAGTCCATATCTGAACATGAAGATTTACCTTCTATCCTGGTCTCACAGTTCCCTCCTGTAAAGGCAGGCAGACAGTGACAGACAGCATCATCAAGGGTTCCTCCATTCTGGCATGATGACGAGGTCTAAAACGAAACAGGTGTTCATTCTAATTAAAAGTATATAAACGGGAACATTGTAGATATTTGTGTGGACAAACCCTAGAGTACAGATATAGCAATTGTCGTATTTTTTAAAAATGCATCTTCCGATATGTCAAAACGATCATATAAACTACTGACTTCAGATGACAAAAAAATTAGAAACGGAGACGTGTGTGAGTTTTATGAAAATTATTTTACAAATAGAAAATTAATCATTTTCCAATTATTTGAATGAAATGTCGAAAGATTATTGGTGCAACCTGTCCGCGCTTAGTATTCTATATTTATGGTTGAAGAAAAATGTAGCAATGTAAACGTTACAAAACGAAGGCATATATAATCAGTTTATAATTTCTTTAACATCAGAGGCGTACGGCTAGCTCTTTGGTTACAGTGCTTGTTGGTCACACTGGTACCATGTTCGATTCCACAATGGTACAACGTGTGAAGCATGTTTCTGGTGTCCCCAGGCATTGTGTACTCGCTCAAACGCTTTAACATTCCCCGAAAAAAGGTCACTCAATTATATACATTTATGGACTTACAGTCTCTTGATGGGCGGTGGGGTAGCCTAGTGGTTAAAGCGTTCACTCGTCACGCCGAAGACACAGGTTCGATTCCCCACATGGGTACAATGTGTGAAATCCATTGTTGGTGTCCCCACCCTGAATGTTGATAAAAGCAGCGTAAAACTAAACTCACTCACTCATTTCATTTGAACATAGAGGTTTGAGAAAATCTGCTTGTTTTGAATATTGTTTTATTCAATATAATAACATATTATGTTCTTGGCACGATATGGGGTCATTTCCATTGTATGCATCGCCATGGCTTCAGGTAAAACTCACTCAATCTGGATTTACAGTTATTTCTTTTGAATATACTCAGCTCACCTGACCAGACGTTGGGACCCCTATGAAAACCTTGCAGGTAAGGTAGGGCACGCTGACAGGCTGACACGCTGTCAAAATGGTGCATTTGTTGTCAATGTCGCAGTGGATGAGGCCGGTGCAGTTGGTGACCACGTTGCACGTTCTGGCACATTCTAGGGCGGTGGTCGCCTGTACATAGTTCAAGTCCATTGTTGTATCAATATCTGTCTGTACTTCCAGGTAAAACCCTGACACGGTACACTGAGAGACATTGACGTTCACTGCTGCATAAACAGTTACAAACAGGAGTTTAAAATTCATAATTTCTCTTTGAGAGATACCTGTGTATGAGCATAAGCTTCCTTCCAACAGCTGGCCCAAGACTTTAGGCTTCTCAATATTGCACCACTTCTTGTTGGAAAATGACAGCGCTGTTTTATGGCTATTTGTATATTCCTTTAGACCAGAATATTCTATGTAATATTCAATTAAACGTGACGTTTTTCCTTACGTTTGTCGTGTGGAATAGTGGTGTACAACGTTGAAAAATCAATCGTTTTCACAGAACTAAACTTGGCCCTTTTCTGATATTGTAAGTATTCAAGGAAATTCTTTTAACTGTTTAGAATCCACATAGTATTTTACATCAGTGTTATCATAGCTGTGGTGCTAATAATTGTCTGTTGCTTCTCAGCTAGTACTCAGTTTAGTTTGACAGAGGAATATCAAATGCTTTATGTCATTATATTGCATCAGTTATACAGAAAGCACGCATTCAACATAATACGACAGAGATGGTTGTACTTATTCTCTTAGTGTTACGGTTAAAAATTTGCGTGACAAAAGGTTTAAGAATCCCCTTTGAACCAGCAAAATAGAACACAGACAAATCTGAAATATTCAATAATATATTGAACACACAAACCGCAAACCGCACTGAAAACTTTAAACATTGTGACCCATAATAGTTATCACTTAATCCATGTGATATTACAAATTACAAAACAAACACTCTCATAACAACGCCAGTGCATCATTTTCAGTGCTGTGATAAAGAACCCTTCATATACACATGTACAGGGAAAAGATATCGCAATCTATTTAAGAATTGAATGTCACTTTGTGTGTTTGCACTGAAAATGAACGATGTTAAAGCGTTGTTCACACGAGTTTTGAACAACGCTTTGACATCGTTCATTTTTCAGTGCAAACACACAAAGTGACATTCAGTTCTTATAATTTCGCACTTTGATGTTTACACATACGTTTTTTACCCACTTCTACATGATCATTGTTTACAGTGATGTGTTTTAATACCTGTAAAATGTCATTCTGTTCAAGACCGTATTGTAGCGATGTTTGTATATTTGGCGATTTTTTTACACATGTATCCCAACCCTTGAAGAAATAGTTCTCAAAGTATTCCTTAAAATATTACAACAAATTCGTCAATAGGTTTGAAACTGCTTTAATATGCATAACATCAATACATTATCAAACAGAAACAATATCAATAACAATATCATTTTAACAAAACTGTCATTGTACCTATAAAACTCATTCTCTTCCCACAGAGGTTACTCCTGTCATATCTTCCTACGTAGCCTCTGTTCTAATACGGCCCTTTCATGGTGTGAGCGTTCAAGACTCGTGATTGGAGGTAATCAGATTTAGTTGTGCAATCAGCGACGTTGTTTCAAAAAGTGATCATTCGTAAGGCCTCGGTAATTTCCGTATACTTCGAGAAAACTAAACCTATTCCCCTGCGCGATGCGCAAACGTTTCTTCTAGACAGAACTCAGTCATGTTATGGTGGATCAGTGGCGTCTCCATCGCCCTCGTTGACAACGGACAAGCTAGCCCTTTAACGTCTTGTGTCTAACATCAACACAAGTCCCCGCCAGATGGGGGATATTTGTGGCCCCACATTTGCTTGTGTTAGTCAAGTTGAATCTAAGTCGATGTAACACGTGTTCTGATTGGATAGAAAGAAGGGAGATAATTCGTGTTGCGATCTTTTGCCGCTAGGGGATTTTACGAGAACCTGGAAATATGGCCGTATTAGAACAGAGGTTACGTAGGAAGATATGACAAGTAACGTCTGTGGGAAGAGAATGCTATAAAACTATGACGGATTCGTTTGGCCGCGTAATAATACACTGACCGACTTCGAAGTTGTGAGGCGTGGCGAATAGGAAGCAGATTTCGTTGGTGTATTCTTTTTATTTGTGATTGTTCATTGTGAAATTTAATGAGCAGTTTTTAAACAGATCACGGGGCAGAACCCGCAAACCACGAGAGATTAAATTCTAGTGATAAGGAACAATGGTCGGCAATTGGAAATCCGTTTGGTCGTGAAGAAGTGACAGTGCCAAAATTGGGGTGACTTGAAACAGGATCGCTCGCTAAATTGTCATCACCAAATGCAGCAAGATCATTGGGGTTCCTTGAAACCGTAGCAGAAATTTGAAAATTAGGTCGGACGCGTTGTCCGTCAGATTTTTACAAAACTGTGCTCAGTTGGTGCTTTTTGTCACATACAAAAACAAGTAAGTGATATGTATAAATTAAAAGGAGTGTGAATGCAAATCATTTATTTTGTTTACGTCAAGCTGGACAGCGAGTATCCTGGGGAAAACCCGGAAAGTAGTTCCGGCAAAAGTTCACATGACCCAGATCGGCTCGAAAACGTTCACACACGTATGAACGATGTTTACACACGTATGAACGATTTGAAGGGTTCAAGGGAAATGAACCTTGAAAGTTAGATCATATGACCGCTCTCTCAACCAACCAACGTTTGGGAATCTGTGTGTACTTCAAAGTGCGAAATTATATGATTTTAACCTCCAATATAGGCATTTATTTTTAGATCATAATTATGTTTGTTTGTATGACTTTTGATATCAGATGTACACGTGCTACAATCAAAGGAAAGTATTACGTGCAAACTGTGTATTCATCATTAAGCAAATATCAAGTGTTAGTTAACGGTTTGTACAGCTCAACAACTTCAATCAACCCGAATCAATTGATTTCCTTGTTGAAAACCAAATACGGTATCTCTTCAACTGACATCTGCTCAACGATGGCAAGTTATTGTAATGCGATAAGCTGTCATGTCAGTGAGGATTCTTGTAAGAGATGCTTGTTGTCATTCATCAGCCGATTGTCCAGAAGACATCAGCAAACCAATGACTTCAAGGTCCATGAAGTCCAACTCCTAGAGAGGATATAGCCCTTCTCAGAATCACAAGACGTCATCCTTTAGAATTGTTGTTTGCCCAAAAGAACGGTCTGAAATCTCCGAACATTGGCCAAGCATAGAGCCAGACTTCCTATCGTTTTGAGGTTTATTATGTACAAAGTAGCTTGGAGTCAAGCTCTAAATGGACCACGGTATATCACTGACATCCTGGACAGGATGGTTGTACCACATACCCTAAACACGAGGCCAGTCTCGGTCAGGTGTTCTTTCTGTCTTAAACCCAAAGATTATCACATGTCGTCATGAGGGCAGTATCAACTAGTCAGAGTCAATTGTCGGTCTAAAATTCATACTGTCTCATGTGAGATACCTGTATATGAGCATAAGCCTCTTTCAAAGACCTACTGTGATATGCGTGACATATCTTAAGGCTCTGGTCTCAATATTTCACTTTGACTGCACTTTATATTCCTTGTTGGAAAACGACAGCGAGAGTGTTCCTTTCATTGAGATCGGATTATGCTGTAAAATATTCTGTTAAACGTGGTGGTTCTTGCATCTGTTCAATCAATTTTATCTCAATGAAAAGTTGATGTAAAATGGAGGATATAAGTGTTCATGTATACGCTCTACATTTTGATATTTCATTACTTTCAGGCGGGTGATGGAATCATTTACACATTTTCTCTCGAAATACAGTTTCTGTAAATTCTTTGAAAGTCATTAGGCAAATTCCGTCACATTTGTTTCAGTTTGATCCAGATGTAGGCAAGTTATATTCACATTATCCGGAATCGGAAGTTTTTAGTTTTAAATTGATTTGGGTATTCCTAATTTACCTGAGGAAATCGATCCTGTACATAGTATAACAATCTTGGTCACTAGTATAAAACAAAGAACACAAGAAATGCATTAAGTTTGGTTGTCAAACAACGTCTTCAAAAACTGGACTGCAATGAAATAACTGTTGCTGACTCTAACATTAGGATTTCTTCTAGTGTAAAGAGTCAACCACGAGCTCCTTACACGCCTTCAAAAGATCCAAAACACTGCAGCAAGAATTGTCACCACGACGTCTAAACGATCACACATCATCCCAGTTTTGAAAGACTTTCACTGGCTGCCTGTTGAGGCAAGGATCCACTTCAAAACATTGTAACTCGCCTATAGTCGCAGAATGACCTAGCTCCAGCATATCTCAGGGAACACAACTGAGATCACAAGGCATTCACAAACCACCAACATGTCTTGTCTGTTCCAAGAACTAAACTGACACTAGTTAGTGAAAAGGCTTTCTGTGCATCAAACCCCATATTTTGGAACAATCTCCCTCATGCCATAAAGAGTTCAACAACCATTGACACATGTCTCAGTTACAAACTCACTTCTTTGATAAATATTACTCAGACTGACTTCTTCCAGTTCTTTTAGGACGTTTTGTCTGTTTTGTACAGTATATCAGCACAAAGTGTGTGACTTCCATAAGCGCTTTGAGCAAGCATGCAGATGGGATGGACTATAACGCTATATCAATACCCATAATATAAAATACCCATATATGTGCTATTAATAGGCCTAGTAATCCGTTCCTTTGTCACGTTAACTGTTTTGTTCAGGGAAAAGCCTATTTTGATGTCATATTTTCTCGAGGGAATGTCTCAAGATATACAGGTCAACGAAACCGGATTGTCACGATCCAGTCTGCCGAGTAAGCTGGGCCTAAAAGGCAACCTTCTGTTTAAATTATATACTGAGTCAAAAAAGAAACTTCACAAAATGTAATTTGAAAAATAATGAATAATTTTTCTCTGATGATACATCTATGTATCCGAAATGGGATCCCTATCTTTCGACTCTAGAAAAACGTTAGCAAAACCCACTCAAACCCATCCATTCGTCGTGCAAATGATGTTAGGGCCAAATCAGGTTTTGCACGTGCAGTCGATAACGTGATCTTCGCATCAAAGTTTTCTTCATATGCATGTGTTTGCGGTACTTGAAATGCCACGATTGTCAAATGTGCAACGTGAACGTGCCGTTGGCATGTTGCAAGCGGGAAGATCAGTTATTGACGTCGCAAGAGCAATGGGATGCAGCCGTTGTACTGTGTATGACTTGCGAGGTCGTCTACAAAAACTAGCACCACTTCTGATCGCCCAAGGTCGGGTCGTCCACGTGTGACGTCACGAGCAGAAGACCGTCAAATCGTCCTACGTCACCTACGTGACAGATTTCTGCCGGCTACACGAACCAGGGCTGAGATGTTTAGAGGTCGACTGTCCTCACAGACCATTCGAAATCGCTTGCGGGCTGTCAATCTCTATTCTCGACGTCCATATCGTGGGCCAATATTGACGCCGTTTCATCAACGTCAACGTCTGCTGTGGGCCAAACATCACCTCCGTTGGACCCAGGGAGACTGGGATCGAGTCGTCTTTAGCGATGAATCCAGGTTTACCCTCAGATTCGTGGACGGCAGGCATAGAGTCTGGAGACGACGTCGTGAACGGTATGCCCAATGTTGTGTACAGGAAGTCGACAGATTCGGGGGCGGAAGTTGCATGGTGTGGGGTGCTTTCTGTGGGAACAACCGTTCCCGACTTCTGGTCATCCGTGAAAACCTCACAGCTGCTGCTTACCGCGACCAGGTGCTCACCCCCTGAACTCGTTCCTTTCATGGCGGCTAATGGCCCAGGTCTACAGTTCCAGCATGATAATGCTCGGCTGCATACCGCGATGTTGACACGAAATTTCCTTCAAAACGCTGGAATCAACGTCATGATATGAATGGATCTCTGAAGCGACAATTAAACCATCTTAGACCAGGTGTTTGTCAAATGGGGAAAGCATGTTTTGCTCCAGTCACAAGTTTCAATATAATTATGTGTTTGTTGCCTAAGGCCGTACAGCAGTACTTCTGTGGGTACCTGGATGGATGGGTTCACATACACAGACACCTAGAACAGGTGTGACGATCGACACATCACTTACGTATCAGTTTTCTAACGGTGTCGCCCGGTGTCAACGAATCGTGTGGCGACACACCCAAATGGCCCTTTCATAATACTCAGTAACTCGCTGGTATTCATCTTGAATCAAGTCGAACACAATATCGGAGGTATTATTGGTGTAAATAACTTAGTTTTAATTGACTTCAGTGGTGGACTGTTCTTTGTTTAAATTCTCCTTGAGACACGATAAGTGACCTGTCGGTTGGTCTTGACGTTTCAGTTAGTACAGAACAATTGCTGCTTTTGTTGGTAACCTTTATTATTCGTTTAGTAAACAATTTCTAACAGAATGTCCGTTACATTACAGTTTGGGTTGATACAACTTATAGTTTCTTAATCCGTGAAGATCCGGGTTAGAATTGGTCTTCAGCAACCCATGCTTGTCGTAAGAGACGACAAACGGGATCGGGTGGTCAGACTCGCTGACTTGGTTGACACATGTCAACGTATCCCAATTGTGTAGATCGATGCTCAGGCTGTTGATTATTTACAGACTGCCGTCATATAGCTGGAATATTGCCGAGTGCGGCGTTAAACAACAACCAAACCAAACAGTGTCATAAAGTAAAGTTTCATTTGGTGGTAAGAAAAGATCTTCTGTCTCGAGATGTTATATGGGTAATATACAATAAAATTAGCTTTCGAAAATAGTGGGAGTTTGGGACCGACTAGTTTATATTCCAGAGAGGGGGCAAGTGTCGACAATATGTGCTCGGATCTGCACGGTGGCACCTGCACTTTTAAACGACAAAATAAGAAACTTGCAAGTCTTCCGGGCAATTTCTTTTCTTATAGAACAGGAGCACAAAAATCTTTTCAATTTACTTCTGGAGAATATTTTCGGAAAATTCAGCAGCGTATTAGTTGTGAATGGGTCTTGATATTTGTTTTTTAATATACAGTGCATCGCATAGGCGGATCAAGAAATTTTCAAAGCGGTGTGTGTGTGTGTGTGTGTGTGTGTGTGTGTGTGTGTGTGTGTATTTTTTAAGGTTTTTTGCCATTGCAAAACATTAACTTCAATGTGGTCTTTAGTCATTTTCAACCCCCCACCCCTTCGGATCCGCCACTGCATCGTATGAAGTATTTCGAATGTACTGCGTATGTATGGTAAACATACTTTAAATGTATTCAGAATGAAAAACTGGCAATTTACATGATCACATTAGCATGTGTGATGAATGTTATGAGCATGTGAATGTTACGTGTATGTGTGGTGAATGTTATGAGCATGTGAATGTAACGTGTATGTGTGGTGAATGTTAAGTGCATGTGTGGTGAATATTAAGTGCAAGTATCGTCCATGTACAATCATTGTCTTCTGATGTTTTAGGGAGTCAGTCTATTAGGCGGGACCTATTAACATATAAATACTTTTGCATTCGTGAGGCATGCCATCAGCAAGAGCCCATACAATGTCATATGTGTGGTGAGGATTCGTCTGACAGACATCCAACCTGTTCCACCAGGCTCCACGATGCCACTCGGCACAAGGGTTGACTGAGTTGTTGCAGTGATCCTTGGCACAGAAGTGACTCCCATCCAGGGTTGTAGCTGGGTCCCCGAGGTTGAAGCGGTCTCCGAAAACGCCATCCCCAGTGAACCCCGACACCGACAGCCGATACTCCGAGGCCTCGTCACCCACGGAGAAGGCGTTGTAAGATACTTGTCCGGGAGTGCCGTCAAATTCTTCAAGAACATGTAGAGCGTTTAGGTCGGACGCTGGTCAGAGCATACATCTTCTCCAGACCCAGCCACATGTAACAGTTGGAGTGGGTGAAACCAGACTTGTAGTCGGCCCAGGGAACGTCGAGGTACGTCACGGGCGCAGCCTCACAGCCACTGATGGTTTTGTCCCTGAACATGATCATGGCGGTGACGCCTTGACATTCCAAGTCAAACGGTTGTGCGGCTTTGGTCGGCCAGACAGTGTAGGTGCCAGTAGAATTACCAACGTACAGGGAAACGTCTGTACAGTCTGAAACAGTGACATGATGACTGTCAGACACAGGTCAGTGATGGACAATGATGAACAAGAGCAATGAAGGAATCAACCAAGAACATCAATGTGTTAGTGACGTGACTGACCTAGATGCATGTACAGTGACAACCTGAGAGTCGAAACCCACCGTCACAGGTTTCCTTCATGCCAAATGGACGCAGTTTCTATCTGGCGTTACTGAAGGAAAGTGATATTCTTAACATGAACTCTTTCATCTTTTGCTTCGTTGAGGAGATCTTCATATAACTGAAGATTTACCTTCTATCCTGGTCTCACAGATCCCTCCTGTAAAGGCAGGCAGACAGAGACAGGCATCATCATCAAGGGTTCCTCCATTCTGGCATGATGGCGAGGTCTAAAACAAAACAGGTGTTCAATGTAATAATAAATATAAAATATAGAAAGGAAAGCTTAACTGGAGGTTACAAGGTGAAGCGCTTGGGTAAGATACATAAGGACGGGTGTATTTCTTAAAAATGGACCTTCCACTATTTTTTGTATTGCAATGTAGAAAAGCTATTTATGTCGCCATTTGTGAATGCAACCTATCCACGATTACTCTTGTTTAT